TTTGTTGGTGGGAAGGCATTTTGGAAGCAGCCAGCTCCTCGTTAGGAGCTGCTGGGCGAAGCTCTGGGGAGAATCCCTCGTCCCTGCTCGCTGGTGCCCATTCAGCCTAATCGCCAAGCAGCTACGTTGAATGCTGCTGCTGCTGCTTCGCAGGGGAGCTGCCGGCTGCTAACAAACGAGTACTCCAGCCTGTGAACCACAGCAGGCTGAGGCCGCCGTGGCCAGACACTTATCAGCAGCACCCCACTTACAGATGAAGAGGCCGAAGCCACCTGTGGCCTAGACATGGGGCCCAGAGCCTGGCGCCTGGGCCCTTTGTTCTTGACTGTGTGCTGGGTGTAGCATAACCTGTTTGTGCTCATAAGTACGTTCACACTATATACTCGGGGCGGGTCATGCCATCCCATTAGTCTCAAGGGGATTTTTTTCATTCAAGAAAAACAGGAGCCATAGGTCAGAGCAAGGCCTCACACCTGCTGCCCCCGGGGCAGGCCTCTACACAATTCTCCTGGGCAGGTGGCTCACCTTGATTCTCAGGGGCTGTACTGTCCTAGGAGCTGTGATTTTAATTCATATTTTCTATCTTATTCATAATGCAGATTCCAGGAAATTGAAATACATCACAGAATAAGGTACGTGTGTGTGTTGGGTGGGGTATTTTGAAAAATGCTTCATATATATATATAAATTAGCCCCATTTTCAACTCTAGTGGCGAGCTAAGAAGGTCCAGCATTCGGTCATTTATTCCATGTTCCGCCTCTGGGTTCACTCTCTTGCTGGGTGGCCTGGGGACAGCCATCTATCTATCCTGCCTCGGTTTGCTCAGCGTCCCCCTCCCTCCTCCAGGGAGCTGCTCAGGGCAGAGGAGAGAGGGCTCTGGCAATCCTGTGATTTCTTTGGAACTCAAACGACATTTTCCAAAGATCACGCTATCAGCTTAAGTAGCCCAAGTATCGGCACCAATTGGACTCAACTCTGTCCTGGAACAAAGGGACGGCCTATTGGGAAGCTGATCTTTTCCAGAAGGCGATGTGCTCATGGTCACGTGGTCGGCATCTGGGACCGAGAGGGCCAGCCCTGCTGACAGGCCTCCCTGGGAAGAGCCGTCTCCAGCAGCCCCGCCTCGCAGGCGCTCTCCTTAGGACGAGTTCGCCTCCATCTGAGAATTATTAACAGCCCCGGTCAGATAACTTTTTCCTTAAGGATTCTCCAAGAAGTTGAGTCAACACATCCCCCCACCCAGTTTCTGAAATGGGACCAAATTCCATGATAACAGCTAACTCATAACAGACATCATAAATTAAGTCAGGCGGGGCCGGGCCTGGCGAAGCAATTCCCCTCACGAGGTCCATCTGCCCGAGGCATCAAGAGCCATTTGGGCCTGACATGCTTACACTGTGAAGAGCCTGCGACAGATGACCAGTAAGCGGCATCCAGGAGGGTAGCTGGCTTCTGGCTCAGTGGGGCTCAGAGACACAGGGCACTTCCCACAGGCACTGAGGGAAGCATGCACTTTCCTACCCTTCGAAACAGCTCCTGCCCAACTCGCTCTTGGGCCCTCAGACATTCTAACAAACTCACTGCCGTCAAGGATTTGGCAGTTATGGGTCAAAGTTATGGGTCACTCATGGCAACCCTACAGGACAGAGTAGAACTGCCCCCTGGGGTTTCCGAGACTGTAAATCTTTATGGGGAAACTGCCTCATCTTTCTCCTGTGGAATGGCTGTGGTTTTGAACTGCTGACCTTGTGGTTAGCAGCCCAACCAGTGACCCATGTCGCCACCAGGGCTCCTACACAAAAGGTGCATAAAAAAGGGGAACCAGCTGAAAGAAAACCTCAACATAGAGTGTGCACACGTGTAGGTGTGTGTGTGGCAGCCAAACACGGCCCTTGCTTTTCATAAAGCCCAATGGTGGTGGTGCAGTGGGTTATGGGTCAGGCTGCTTACGAGGAGGTTGGTGGTTCAAACCCACCAGCCCCTCTGCAGGAGAGTTGAGACTCTCTGTCCTTGAAAGGCCGGAAACCCCAGGGGCAGTTCTGCTCTGCCCTATAGGCTCACTGTAAGCTGGAGTCAACCCAAGGGCAGGGTTAGTAGGCATGGGTAAGTCCTCTTGACAGTTTGATGCTGGGATTTTTTTTCCTTATCCCACAGGCAAATCCTATGGCCGGAGGAGGAGAACACTTGTACTGTGGGAAGACATCTCATTCGTGCTTTTTGTGTTTGTTGAGCCAGTCAAGGACTTGCGGCCACCCTGAGGCCCATAAAGGGAAACACAAGTCACCTTCATTTAAAATCATGAGTTCTGGGGTGTCACTTAAAGATGGCCAAGGGCTGGGAGTGTGAGGCTGTTGTCATCAGCATCACCCCAGGAGCACCACAGGCCCAGGTGCGTGAGGCAATGGTCGACCCCTCGGAAGTGACCCAGCGCAGTTCTGTGGCAGGGATTGAAGCTCAGAGATAACACTCTGGCTCAGGTCACCCAGAAGGGGTGGAGCATCCCCGATGAAACATTTATCATACGGCTCTTGTCAGCTCCCAGTCTCCCATGAGACTCCCAGGGTAAAAGGATAAATTTCTGCAAACGTATACTTTTCTGTTAGTGATTTGTTCCTCTGTTCTCATTGGGTACAGATACAACGGCTGTCTTCAGAGCGATTTTCCCTAGCAGGATACTTTACTCCTCTACTTAAGTTATGCAGGCTCAAGTTCAAGTTCACCGAAGCCCCACCACGCCAGATCTGAAATGGGACAGCCAGAAAACCAAACTGATTCTGACTCAACGACTTTGCCACCAGGGCTGGTTTTTCCTTATGTCTGTAGGAAAATACCTGTGAATTTTCACCAGCCAGCTCTCTTGGGGTCTAGTACTGCATGGGAGGGGAGGGTACTCCCCTGCCCACTAACTCCTGGGTGGCAGGCATGGTGCTGGACAACGACGTCACCCAATGATGGGCCGGGCCTCTGGACACCCATGTATACGTGTGGCTGTGAGCCGGCACGGAGCCGATTCCCACTGAGGACAGGCAGGACAGCTGAGGGTCCCGGGGTTGCCAATAGCTGGGACCTCTCTGGCGTTTGTGAAAGGGTTGCAGCCAACTACTATCCCTGACTCGCCCTTCAGGTCAAAGTGGAGCACAAAGGGATGGTCTCGAAAATGCGACCATCTTTTAAGAGAAAGGAGGAAGGCCTCTAAACACCGTGGACAAAAGGAACACTTTCCACGGACCTCTTGAAGCCTCCTCATCACTCTTGTGGTGAGGTGCTGTGCAGTCGATTCCAACTCACAGGAAACCCGGTCCAACAGAACCATCCTCAGAGTGTTCTTGTGTCTGAGCCCAGGGTGGCAGCCACGTGTCAGCCCACCTCGTAGCTGCTATGCTAATAAGACATTTCCAAGTCCAGGCTTTATCTTCCTCACAAACGGTGGTGGAGTGCGGCCACACGGAGAACGTATGGGACACCAGAGGCCTGCTTATCTGCTGAGGGCTCACACAGGAAGCACTGAACCAAATGCAACGAGGGATTACGTGTCATCTATGGTCCTGTTACTCTAAGCATTTTAAGTCCTCCAAAACCCAAAAAACCCCAAATTCACTGCCTTAGCGTCGATACAGACTCCTGATGACCCTACAGGACAGGGCAGAACTGCCCCTGTGGGTTTCCTGAAACTCTCCCCTCTACATGGGCAGAAAGCCTCATCGTTCTCCTGACTGTAGGACTTACTGCTAACCCGGCTCACAGAGTAGAGCAAGGAAATACCGCTTAAACTAGAAGAATTCTGAAGATGAGATCATAACGGCAGAGTGATCACTTCACACCTTCGCACTACTGTGCCGGGAGTGAAAACATTCCTTGGCACGATGGAGCTGAGAAGAGGTTGGCACTGTCGGATGTGCCATCTCCAGCAGCCCCTGGCATTAACTCCTAGGACAGCAGACACTTCCCAGGACGGTGAGGTGGCCTTCGGCCCCCCCATCAGGACTCCGGTCTCAGGCGCAGAGACGGAGGTCTTGAGTCAGAGTGGACAGTAGATTATTCCCTTGAGAGACTCGTGGGAGGCTCTTGGCCAAGCTTGCAGAAGGTACACCTGCCAGGTAGCCAGAATAGGGACCAAGGGGGTTGTCTCCCCAATGCCTGCATAGGGCCACAATGAAGGGTTTGGAAAGCAATCAGGCACCCATTAGACACCTACAGAAAGATCCAAACAGCATGCGCAGACTAGGACCACCTAAGCGCAGGTGAAACTGAACCTAGCTTCAACCCAAGCCCATGACATCACCCAAGTGTGCCTAAACTCAGCCAATATGGTTGGCCAAGGCCCTCCACCACACCTCCTGCAAGCGTGGCTTTGTGGACCTGGTCCTGCCGTCAGCCGTGAGCTCCTGCTCAGCACAGCCTTGTACGCTCTCCTGAAACAGTGCGTGCTTTTTCAGTAGCCAAAACGTTCCCTTTCCTCAAAAGGTCACCTGGATTGCAAGAACTGAGGAACCCCAATCCCCAAACCTAACATACCTACGCAAACATCTAAAGCCTCTCTTCCAGCAGTCAGCTCGATCCTGTTCTCTGGAGAAGAATCGCCAGGGGGCCTTTTTAGGTGTGTGTTCCACTGCACCCCCAGATGAAATGGCACCCCAGAGCCAACATGGAGGTGATCGGCACCCCTGCTGCCACAGGAGCAGCCTTGCCTCAGCACACTGCAGTGCGGTATACAGCTCAATGTTCAATAACCGACTAAGAACTCTTAACCACGCAGTCCTAGAATACCCTGCCTCCCGGGGCAGGGCCGGAGCTGGAAGAACTCCATGATGCTCCTCAACTCCTCAATGCTCATGTCTCTGTAACTGGCCGCTGCCCCCCACCCCACACCCCAGCCCACTCTGGGCCCTGATGCACAGCAGTGAACTGTGACAAGAGACAGGCTCAGGCTGTATCACGCTAGACAGGAGACCAGCGACACCTCCCCGCCCCCACTCCAGCCAGCGTGGGCTGCAGCTACCTTGTCACTGTCCAGCGTGTTCTGCGATGTCCGGGAGGCAATGGAGATGGTGTCTGGCTGGCTGCTGCCATCCCCTTGGCTGTCCAAGTCTTCTCCATCCCTGCAGACACAGAGAGACTTTCACTGGCTGCCTGCTGTAGCTGCATGACTTCTCCAGGCTCACAGGGAGGGGGAAGGGAAGTGCCATCAGCCTCATGTGGGATTGGCAGCTACCACGGCTTCACAAATGTCAACCCCTTAGGGTGGGGACACAGGCTTCTGGCTTGGCGGTGCCTCACTGCTGTTCCATTGAACCCTCACGGTCATTAAAATACGGGCGACACAATTTCTATTTTAGACCCTACACAGCTCCTACACATGCTCTAATTCACCGGAGCTCATAGGGCTGGGGCGGCCTTTGGGGAGGTTTAGATCTAAGTCTTCCTAATGCCAAAGCCCAAGCTCTCAGCAACTGGGCCCTGCACATTCCCCACACGCAGCCCCCAGCCTCACTCCCACGGGCAGTCAGGGCAGGCAGCCCCGTGAGGTGGACCGGGAAGGCAGCCGCTTGGCGAGGGCTCTCCTTCCAGGACACGAGCCAAGCACACGTGGCCCACCTACAAGAACTATAGTAGGACAGACACAGTGCTGGGAGTGGGGTATGTGCATTACTGGGTGAGATGTCTTGCACCTGTGTTACTCCTGAAATACCACGTGGCGTGGGAAAAGTGGGATTTGCATACAGGCCCTTCTTTGACTTTAAGGCAACAGTGGCTCTTTCTGGACAATGCAAACGCATGGCCGAGACCGACGGCTAGTGCCAATCACATTTTAAACACAGCCCGAACACACACTGGAGACCCCGTCTTTTTGAGTGGACCTCTCCTCCCGCCAGGTCCCAGGGCCCTGTGCACTGACCTCCGGCCCCTCTGCCGCGCGGCCGGGGCGGTTTTGGGGATGTGGATGGGCTCCTTGAGGGCTCCCTTCAGGTGGATGGTCCTCTCCTGGATGACTTCCCGGATGTGCTTGATCCAGTCCTGCTTGTTCTCTATGCTGGAGGCCTTCAAACGGGGTCACAGTCAGGACACACTGGGGGCCTGCTCGGGACCCACGCCAAGCACACTCTCTCTCCCTTCCCGCATCCCGGGGGGGGGGGGGGGGGGGGTTCCGACCGACATCACAGCAGAAGGGGAGCCACATGCAAGCAGGGTCGGCCACCAGATGGACAGCCCTAGTTTACAGCCATCGAAACCACGTTAATTTTACTGCCAAGAAAAGTTCACAGCCGTCGAAACCACGCTAATTTAAAGCACGTGTTATTCTACACTGAAGAAGATTCTAACCATCAACCCCAAGACTTTCAGGCAGCCCCGGGTGACACCCAAACAGAGCGGCAAGACTCAACCCCCAAATGTCTTCTAGGCTCTTGCGGTGCGGGCTGTGCATCTATCGAGCACCAGGCTGCGGGGAGCCTGAACCAGCACCCACCTGGGTCCCTGGACTGATGATAGTCAACAGTGGCCGCTGCTGCCCTTCCCCACCCCCGTGTCAGCTGAGGGATCCCTGGGCCTCTCTCAGTACACCCAGAACTATCTCCCGAAGGAGAGGACTCTCCCATACTTGTTTTGTCAATGGGCAACTGAGGGGTTGGCCCCCTGAGGCCATGCCGCAGCAGGTGACCAAGCTGGACTCCCAGGCTCCTTCTCACACACTGCCCTTACCCACCCTGCCTCATACCCCTGAATAAACAAGGGCAGGCTCAGCTCACCGCCAGCGAGTCGGTGCCCCCTCATCGTAACCCTACAGCACAGGGAGAACTGTTCCCGTGGGCTTCTGGGACTGTAACTCTGACAGGAGTACAGAGCCCGGTTCTTCTCCTGAGAAGCGGCTGATGGTTTTGAACTACTGACCTTGCTGTTAGCAGCCCAATGTGTAAACCCCGTACCACCAGGGCTCTGTGAACAAGAACAACGGACTGCTCATTCTGTGTGTTGGGGTTTATCTCAGTGCCCGCCTATGCCTGTGGAGGGCTGGCCCAGGGGGACAAACAGCAGTCAGCATTTGCTGAGTGAACACACAAGACCTTACTGTCCCCAGAGTTTTATCTCTCCCTCTGCCTCCAAAGAGGTAGGTTTCTGTTTTAAATATATGTTCTGGGTCTAAGTAACAGTTTTCCCTATGGGAAGCATCAGCTCTCTGTGATCGAAACCTAAATCCCTGAGATGCAGGCAATACCTATGGGCGGGCCGCCTTCCAGCCACGATCGCCAATGTGGTGTGACTCCTACCCTTTATGCCTGTGCTTCTAATCCTACATGGGAGTGCGTTTCCTGTCCCCAGATGAAGGTTGGATGTATTAAGTCTCCGCTTTTCTAGAGGGTGTGAACCAAACCACTACCTTTTTTGTTTTGTTTCCATGAGGGTCCCGTCTGTTGACAAGACACCAACCACGCCTCCATCCACACCCTTCCTCTGTGTGTAAGAGCCACATCAGGAGCAAAGCCTGTGTGAAAGCCCTCCCTGCTTGGAGTGGAGGCGGCAGCAGAGGCCAGGGCCCGGTGTGTAGGGATGAGACTGGGGGACGGAACAGGAGGGACGGGAAAGGGACCACCTAGTGGAGTGGCAGAGCGACCACCTGGCTGCTGGCTGAGAAGAGGTTCTGACTGCTCTGGACCAACACCTGTACCTGTCCTGTTTACGTCTCTGGCTTGTGGTAGCCTGTTAACTCCCCTCAACAACCAGCCCTTTCTCTGGTTTGTCTTGACTATCACCTCTGGGGGTTGTGTGGCCACTACGACGACGACGACGCATGCTCGAGCCCACAGAGAAATGGCGTGTGGTGGGAGAAACGGGGGGTGGGTGTCAGAACAGGAGGAAAGAGGTGGAGGGGGGCGGTGTGTCTGACCTCTACCCCAGGGCACTCGGACAGCCAGAGAGCATGAGATGTGCTTCCTGGCTGTTTCACTCCATCATTCTGAAACCACCCCTCACTGGCAGCGAGTCGATTCCAACCCATAGTGACCCTCTATCACAGGGTAGAACTGTTCCTGTGAGGTCCCGAGACTCTAACACTTTTTATGGGACTAGAAAGCCTCATCCTTCTCTCGAGGACCTGGCTGGTGGTTCTGAACTGCTGATCTGGCCGTTAGCAGCCCCGTCCATAACCACGATGTCACCAGGGCTCCTCATTCAATCCCTACAAATGATTTAAACGACTGTTCAGGGGGATCTGAGATGAGATCATGGAGGGAGGGGAATCCAGCATTATCTCACTGTGCGCCTTTCTTATTTATTGGAAAATAGAGAATCACAGCTCAGTCTGGGAAAGGAAATTGCAATTGAAAACCGTTCTCAAGAAAGTATCTTAACCAGAGGAGGCCTTCCGAGGTGTTTGTTCGGGGTGGTGATGGAGAAACGAGTGGAGGAGGAGAGCCTCTGCCCACTCGCTCAGCTCTGCTCTCAGGTGGGATCTCAGAGTCAGACTACAGAGAATGGCTCAGGATCTGGGTCAGGAGGCAGAGGCTCAGAGTGGAACATGTGGAAAGCTGTGAGTCCGTGTTCTACTGGAACCTCACCATGGCTGTACTGTCAGTTACACAAAGAGACCATCTGAGTTAGAAGGAACACTTCCAGCAGCGTTTGGAAACAACAGAGGAGACCCAGCACGCCTCAGAAATGAAGAAGCGTCTTGCAGTGAAAAGGGAGTAGATTTATGGAGAGCACTTAGCCTAACCTTAAAGAGATTAAACATGGAAACCAAGCACCAACGTTTCAGAAGTAATCGGAGAAAAGTATCTCGACTAAAATCCTAAGTAAGATATTCCACTTGGCTGAAAGAAGGGAATAATTTGTTTTATACTCTTGGAAGATCCAATCAGTTTAAGGAAGGGTTTGGAATTAAAGCTCCTCTTTCCAGCCCATAAAAGTGAAAAAAGGCCATATTTTTTGCTTCACAACTACTAGGCCATTACTATCATGGTCATTACCCCCATCGCCACCATTGTCTACCACCATTACTACTGTCTGAATCATTACCATCTATACCACCATTAGTACCGTCTACGCCACCAACATATACACCATGACTGTCTATACCACCACCACCTACCACCATTACTACTGTCTCCACCACCATCTGCCTAAACTATGTACACCCCCACACCAGCACTATCAGCAGCACTGGGTACCCCAACAGCACCACCGCCGCATTTCCACCATCGTCTCCAAGGCCACCCAAGCCACAAACAATCTTTGTAAGTACTGAGGACAACATTCCTTTCAGCCTCGTTCCTACGGAATCCAACAAACCTCCCTCAAGACTCTCCATAAAACTTCTCATCTGATAGAGCCGGTGGAAAGTCTTGTTAGGAATCGTTTATTAGGTCCCAAATGAAAAGCGTTCCTATCCGGCCGGAATATAGCAGGCGCTGCTTTCTCAGCTGCGCCTCTTCGCAGCATCTGCATCTACTGAAAGCTTTAAGTTGGATGCCTGGAGGCCTGGTGCACACATTAACATTTTTGTACCCTGCTATCTGACATTTGGCTATCAGTGCGATGCATATTTCCCAAGGCTTCATGCCAGCACAAGCAAGAACGCGCACCGGGTGCTCGTGATAGATTTGTGGCCAAGACCGTACTAATGCAATGGCTTTCGAAGCCACTGAAGTGAAGGCTCCGCTACAGGGGGAGGTGCAGATAAGTCGCCGTTTCTGGAATGCCGGAGAGAGGCAAAGCTACACAAGAGACAGAGCGGCTGCCAGGCCAGCGCACACCCTGGAGACCCATGAAGCTTTTGGCTCCTCTCTCAACAGCGTGGAAACCTCCAGCTACATCTCCCCTCAGGCGTCCTGGGGCAGCTCCACCTGCACTTTCTCAAGCACAAGAGGAGGGAAGGACATCAGACAGACATCTCACGTCCTCGCCGCTCATGAGCGAGCTCGGCAGAGCCGAGAGCTCTCAGGTCAACCCTTCCAGGTTTATTCTCCCTCCCCACAAGCTGCGTATTGGAGCCACCCAGGCCGTTCCTGGGCACCTTTACATGGAAAGGCCACCAAAACCTGAAAATCACTCCCCCCCCTTTTCTATTCCCCAAACTAGAGAACTAAAGCACCTAAGACCCCCAGGGCGAGCGTTCGAAGCCCCCACAAGTTCTTCAGGTGCCTGTTTTCCTCTGGAAACTCAAGCTCAAGCACGCAAGCATCCACCAATTCTAGCTCCACCAGGACGAGGAAGACCACACGAGGTGCTAAAGGAGACCTCACTGCCCTTTGCGCTTTCAGCAGGCCGGCGGAAGTTTGCTCGTTCCTCATCCCCGGAATAGCATGCGGAATGAATCCCACAGTCCTTTTGGGGCTCATCCCCCACCCCACCAGGACACTGAAGGAACTAGTCAAACTCTAAGACATCCAGATGTTTCCAAACCAGAGTCGGGAAGAAGGCACATAGAGTGATGACCCCAGTGCTTCATGCCCCCACCCCCCACAAGCTTCATGCGAACAGACGTACCTTCAGGACAATCTTATTATCCGACGTCGGCGTCCTCCCTACCCATAGTGCAAACTTGCAAGGATCTCCTTCAACGTGCTCTGTGACGCCCAGCTCTGAGGTCTGGAGAAAAGAGTTACAGGATTAGGCCACAGTAAGGAACTCTGGCAGGGAAGACAACAGACAAGGGCAAGAACGTTCTTGGTGACTCGTGGTCGTGTGAGATGCTACATTCCACACCCTTGCCCAAAGCCAGGGCTGGGGCTCCAGCCATGTTACTCCCCCAAACATTAGGACTGCAAGTGGCCGACTTCTGGCCAGAAACCTTAGGGAAAACAAAAACAGCCGACGAACCTACACTGTGCATGCTCTGTGTAGTATTTGCCAATTTAAAAAAGGACTAAGACAGAGGGAGGCAATGGTATTGGAGCTTACATTCTGAACACCCGGTTTTCAGAAGGCTATGGATGACCATGGAAGCCCCAAATCCATTTGCGGGGACCCTACATGGATGAAGCCTCCCGAGTCCCCTCTGACTATTGACCAGGGATGTGAACAGCATTGGTATCAGAGTGGATTAGTGCTGACCTAGTTAGGTTAAAATTGAACACCGTATCATTTGATCACCCCTTTGACACACTTTATAGTTGTTTGTTTTTTACTGTTCTGCTTTATGATTGAGGCTTTTCTCGGTTTATTTTCTGGTTGTTGGGTTTTCTGTTTTTCTGCATATGAGTTCCAGGAGAGGCACATCTATAGACAGTGACGGCATTAATACTTTCCTAGGGGCTGAGGCGAGGCTCTCCTAAGAACGAGCACAGGAAAAGAAAAGGTTTTAAATTGATTGTGGTGATGATTGCACAACTCTTTTTCTTTTGCTTTTTTAGTCTGAATGAACTGCTGAATTGTATATGCTGTATGTGAATTATTTGTCGGTAAGTCTGTTCAAAACGTGTAACACATGTACGAGTCATAATAAATACAGAAGCCCTTCCAAACCGCAAAGATACTTCACGCCAAGGCGCAGGGTTTTGCACCTGGTGTCAGGGCAGCAGCGATGGCTCCTCGGTTTTCCCCTCCTTGCGCAGTGGTCCTTACGATGAGCCCACTTATCCTGAAGGGCGGGCACCCCCCGCTGTAGCCCTCAATCAATGGCACCCACAGGGAAGGGCCACCTTTTCCTGGAACGTCATGAATCTGCTCCCAGGAGCACTTGCACCAGCTCCACCAACCGTGCTTCCCATGGGCCCCTCGGGGCTGGTTGTGCCTCGTGGCCCTGCACTGACCATGATGCCCATAGGGAGAGATGCCTGGTGGCACAAAACCGCTCACGTGGAGATCATTGGCAGCGCATGTGTAATTGCGTGTCCGCAGACCCTCGTGGTTCTGACCCATGTTGCCCAGGGGGTCCACTGCACCAACAGGCTCCGTCACACGAGGACTCTGCTCCTTCATTCCGGAGGGGACACATGAGGGACGGCATGCCTTTTCCCTTCCTTTGAGCATCTCGATGGGCAGTCCTGACACAAGGTCAAAGGGCAAGACCTCCAGAGGACAGGAACCGAGAGACGCAGGGCAACTGGGAGAATCCCCACCTGCGGAAAGACAAGATGAGTCTTCTTCCAGTCTCAGAGGGCCTCGCACACCTGTAGCCCGACACTGACCAAAGTGCTCCCCAGGCGGAGAAAGGGATTTTCTGCGGGCAGGTTCTTTGTGAGGTGATTTATCAACGGCTTTGAGCATTTCACCAGGCACGTTAAGGACGCATCCCTGTGGTCTCAGCAGCTGTGGCCGGCCTCTCCCAACAACCGGGCTGAGCACTGACGCGTCCCTTCTCCCCGCAAAGGGGATGATTCACAACCCACCGCGCCAGAGGTGGCCCCGGAGGGAAGGGACTTAAATTAAACGAAGGCGTATCAGCTCCTCACACAGATGAGCTCTCGGAGGACAGATTACAGCCAGCTTGTGAAGGAGTGACTGGTGCATATTTTCCTCCTGGTTAGAATATGACCTAAAGTGAGGTCAGGCGAGCGGGGGTCCAAGAGATGATCTCAAACAGGAGGCGAGCCCAAGGCGATGGCGGGCAAATCACCTCGGCAAACGGACAAATTACAGGTTCTTACCGAGGCGGCTGGTACACCCTTAGCCCTGCATCTCTGGGATTGTGATGAACAGATCTGCTGCTGCGTACTCACGATGCAGCACAGGTGGAGAGCCTGCCCGGTCCCGCCTCTCCGTTTCCTTATCTGCTTGTCAGTCCTTCCCACGAGGGCTTTCCTCTTGCTGCCACTCCATCAAGCATGGGGTCCCCCCTCCAGGGACCAGAGCAAAATCTCACCACCCTCATCTCGAAGTGGCACTGTTTTTTTTTTTTATTTTACTGACTTATTCATATCGATCATTTTATTGGGAGCTCTTCCAGATAGGATAACAATCCAGAATTCATTCAGAGCAAGCGTAACTGTACAATTGCTGTCACCGTCATTTTAAAACATTTTCCTTTCTTCTTGAACTCATGATATGAGCTCCCATTTATCCCCTCCCTTCCCCACCTTGGCCCCCAGGAGCCCTTATTATTATATTTCCATAACTTTTGCGAAATCATACACCATCCAATGGATCTGTTCACCTACGATTCTATTACCCGTTCCCCCAAGTGGGGGCATTCTGGATGTAACTTCTTCCAAGACAGATGTGGGCACCCTCTGGCAGCCAGGATATGCCGGTATTTCCTCCCAAACACCGTAATTCAAATGCATCACTTCTGCGGTCTTCCTTACCCTTTGTCCAATTTCACCTGCCTGTGAGGTGACTGGGGATACCATGGCTGGGATCAGGCGTACCTTAGTTTGAAAGGCGAACCACCACAGCCCTCGGCCACGAGTCAGTTCCAACCCATGGTGACCTTACATGGGCTTTCTGAGACTGCACATCTTCACAGACGCAGCCAGCCTCGTCATTCTCCCGTGAAGCCACTGGGGGTTCAAGCCACGCACACTGCACACAGCAGTCCGCAGCCTACCCCACAGTGTGCCACCAGGGCTCCTGGAAGTGGAACTGTTGCTGTTGCTGGGTGCCAACCAGTCAGTTCTGACTCAGAGCGACCCAATGCATATTGGAAGGAAACACTGCCTGGCCCCACACCACCCTCACACAATTGCTCCTATGCCTGAGCCCACTGTTGCAGCCCTGGTGCCAATCCATCTCTCTTAGGGTCTTCCTCTGTTTCGCTGCCCCTCCACTTCACCAAGCCTGATGTCCTTCTCCAGGGCCTGGCCTCTCCTGACAACCTGTCCAAAGCAAGCAAGACTGTCCACCTTGCCTCTAAGGCATCCTCTGGCTGTACTTCTTCCAAGAGAGACTTGTTTGGCTCTTGGCAGTCCATGGTATCTTCAATATTCTTCTCCAGCACCAGTGCACTGGGTCAGTGTGAGGATTTGAGTCTTTCATACATTGGGTAGAAATCCACACTGCAGGCTGCAATCCTTGATCTTCATCAGCAAGTGCTTCAAGTCCTCCTCACTTTCAGCAAGCAAGGTGTGTCACCTGCGTACCAGAGGTTCTTAATAAAGCCTTCCCCCAGTCCTGACACCGCCTTCCTCTTCACACAAATCCAGTAGAATTAGGGAGCTTTCAAACGTCACCATAGCTTACATGTATTTTCTCGAATAATCATGTATATATAATAGCTAAACATGATTATTTACAAAAAACGATAACCACATAGATTTGCTTTTAGGAAAAACCAGCTAACACACCCTGATCATTCACCATCCACAGTGAGCTACCCAAGCAGGGCTGCTCTGAATCACTTCTCCGGCTAATGAACGAAAAGTGAATTGCATACTCATTTATCTGGCTTGAGCAGTATATTTGCCAAGCTAGTGAAGGCACATAGGAGATAAGTACTTGGAACCCACATCTCATCTGTTTTCTTTACACCAGTGTCTATGGAATTTGGCAAAAGCAGTTTTAAGTTTTAAGTTCTGGAGAAACTCATGGGCACCACCTAGTGGGCCCGATTGCCGTGAGGAAGGAAACATTCCAACTACTTCAAACTCCTGGATTCAGTTGTTTGAGAAGGTAAACGAGGGGCCCTCGTGTGGCACTGAGACCCAAGCCCGCACGGCCTGTACTCACAAACAGTTTGCTCTTGTACAGGTACTTGCTCCTCCCACTGGAATCTTTGACCTCCTTACTGAACACGAGGGACATTTCAAAGAGGAAGAGGTGCCGCTCTCGGCCCTTCCGGATTAAGGTTTTGGGGTCCCACACTTGGAAGGATTCCTGCAGGATGAGTTCTCCCTGAGACTCAATGTTTTCATCGAACCCTGTGGGAAGAAGAAGAGTGGGCAGTCAGCGTGAACGGATCACACGGAAGGTTGCACACGCACACCCGGGCAGCCCACCCATCGGTGGTGACGTCTCCCTGGGTGCGCCTGGGGGGACACGTTTTAAAACGTGTCCAGAACTTGACGGACCCATGTAGAAGGGGATTTGAAACCAGGAGCCTGGGCAGGGGGCACTCTTTTTTCTGGGTCCTCCCAAATGACCAGGCAGTTACCACCTGCCCTGCCCAGCACCCTCCCAGGCTGTGCCCCCCCCCGACCATCAGCACACCCCAACTGGGCCTGTAACCCCATTTGCCCCACCGCTAATCCTGCTACCGAGCAATTCTTACTCAAATGCCGCATGGTACTTTTTCATTGTGCAAAAAGACTCAGGGGTGCCCTCTGCCTTCCCCTCTAGGTCCAACACGCACGTCCATAGCCCAGCATTTTGCCATTGGTCAGCTGGTTCGGACAGCCCTCCCCCCACAAGCCTCCTCTTCCCTCCACAGTGGTCCCCTGGCTCTTCCCCGCCCCCACGCTGACACCTCCCTGGACTCCCTGGCCCAGGTCCACCCTCCCGACACGCAGCCTTCAGAGCCTGCTCTTTTCCATAGGCCTGGCTTCCAGACCCGGAGCCTTCCCCCGCCACTCATGCACACATTCCCCATGGGATCCAGCTGCCCGCTGGCCCTCACAGCGGCCCCTTTCAAGGACATGGCCTGTCCTATTCCACGGGTGACACTACCGGCACAGCAAAGTAGATGCCCACGCTCTCCCACCACCCGCTCGCTCCCTCCCTCCGCCTCTCCATGAGAAGCCAGTACGAGAGAACAGGGCGTCCAAACTCTCATCTGCAGTCTAGATGCCCACGTCCTGCCGGATGGATGTCAACGTGACCTTGGCACATGCTAGACCCCCTGGATGGAGAGACTGGAGAGAAAGGGTCCTGGGGTCGTCACGGCAGGCTGCCACAACAGCTCAGGAGCTATGTAGGAGAAGGAGGGTGGCCCCTGCCTGGTGGTCTCTAACATTTGGGTCTCTGTGAACTGAGAGGCTGAAGACACTTCAGGAGTCCCCTGAAGTGGCTCAGAAGAGAGCCCCGTGAGCTAGTTTCAAACCATGAGCCATGGGCAGTGCTGCCACGTACAGGTCTCCGTGACACGGGTGGAGCTGCCAGGAGTTGAAACCAAGTCACGGGTGACTGGTTTTCAGGGCTCCCAGCAGCCCACGTCTGAGAAAAGCAGGAAGGACCAGGAAAAGCATGAGGCTGGGGTGGGGGTGGGGGGCTGCATGTTGGGCATCGGGCAGGATGTACAATCAACAGAGTGCCCTCTGCCCTGGCTCCTGGCTGCAAGTCTATTTCTAGATGGGACAGGTAAAGCCTGAGGTTACAGAAGTAAGCTCCACGGCAAAGAAATGGCTTCCCGAAGCAGAAGCATTGGTGGACTTTCAACCCATGGAATACACGTTAACAATAGCCATCTAATTCTTTTCACCGTGCGATATATCAAAGTCAACCTCCTTAGGAAGGCGTTTGGTACATACCGTCCAAGACTAAGCACATGATGTGAAAGGATTGAGATAGGGGACAGCAACCTCTTCTAAGAACTTGGTCACCTTTGGGATCCATCTATCCAATGCTACGTGACACACAGGGCCACTAGAGTTCAGAGTGAAGTGGACCCAGTCCCTGGGGAAGCACCCAGGAGAAGCGTTGACCGAGGCAGAAGCATTTCAAGCGCTCCTTAGGAGAAGCAATGAAACCAATTCTTCAAAAACAAAGACCTCACATCTGAACTCGTAACCGCGACCTAAACTCAGAGGCCTGGGGCGGAGAGTCTCAGGCTGCAGGGAGCGGGTGGAGAGACAGTGCTGGTCACCAGAGGGCACCCAGGGCTGCCCGATTACCTTCCAGCATGCTGAGGTGCATGGCGTCGTTGGCTCGTTTTGGCACGCTGAGCATCACCTCCAGGCCGTCCTTGATCTCCCCCTTCCCCTCTTCACAGCAGGTGAGCAGCTCCTGTGGATGACAGACACCTGGAAGTAGCACAGGGAGTTTCTGGAGAAGCTCCACCAGCGGTCTTTGCAGTAACTAGGGGCATGTGCGAACCCTGGGTCTCAAGGTCAGACGGAGCTGCTGCTGTCCCCGAATGCCGTGCTGGAGCCACACCAACAGCATTGTGCTCCCCATGCAGCCATGAGTGAGTCTCCACCCCATGTGCCCATCCCCAGTGCCCCAGCTGCCTGGAACGGCCAGATGACGGGCTGCGCCAAGGACAACCCGGGGGCTTTTCAGTGGCGCGTGGGGAGTCGAGGAGTGCCCTGACACACGAGGGATGCCTCCCAGGGGAAGCCCGAGTGCTGTCACTGGGTTTCAGGTCTGCGGAGAGGAAGGTCCACGGTGATGTGGACGATGGGGCGGGGGCACAGCAAGCTTAAGTTCTGGAACACGCTCTCGGAGCACTGGTCTCCGTTACCAGATGTTGACCATGATATCAGGGTGCGTGTGTGTGCTCCTAGTCTTCTAGGATAAGGGAGGGGCCGGACACTGGCTACGGACTGGGTGGAGTGAGCCCTGACCTAGATACATGTGGACTCCTGGCCAGGTAAGTTTTTGAGAAGTGCTTTCACAGCCTGGTATGGTCCGAGTCTAAACTCCTGCAGCAAAGTCCCCTCAGGATGAAGCTCAAAGTAGCTTTTGACCGTTCCTCTGGAGATCTCCCACTCCCCCGCCATGGGAAGAGAGCAGGGCGTAAGGCAAAGGAAGGGAGTGTGTGTGAGGCAGAGATAGATCTTCAGTAGAGCCATGTGCAGAAGACAAGCCATCGCACCCTTGAGGAGGGCAGGGGCCCACAACACAGAGGGTAACGGACTAGAAAAGGCTGGTCTTCTGTCCTCTCATCTGCTGATGGCTGCAACCTGGCTTGCAGGGTGGACGGCCTTCAAACCCTCAGTGGGGGAGGAGCTTTTCCCAGAGTCAGGTCCCACAACCATAAGCATCTTAACAGACAGATTGCAGCCTCTTCCAATCCTTTCTAGCTGTCTCTTAAGGCACGAGGAACTCTGCCTCTGCCTTCCTTAAAAGCGTAGGAAAGTTACAGCGTGACCGCCTGTTGAGATGGTCGGGACAGCGTCTCGGACCGAGGGGTTGTTAGGTGGGGCCCCTGTGTTCCAACACAGCGACCCTGCGTACAACTACAGCGGACAAAGCACAGCCTGGCCTGTGCTACGCTCACCACGGTGCTGTTCGAGCCCATCGTGGCAGCCGTATGGTCAACCCGCTCATGAGGGTCTTCCTCTTTCACACGGGCCCTCTGTTTTAGTAAGGACAATGCCCTTCTCCAGGGCCTGGTCCCTTCCCTCGGAGCATGCGTCCAGAGAGTAGGAGAGACGAAGCAGGAGCTCACAGGATTCCGACACCGGTTTTCTCTCTCTGCATCTCTATCCTAAACACCTGCCCAGGCGTCTCCGACCACTACTTGAGAGAAGCTGGGAGTGGCTCCCAGTGATGGTGAGGGATGACGTCCACTAGACCCTCCTGGGTAAGGGTAGGTAGGGGCGAAGCTCAAGTATCCGCTGCTTCCCAGCCTGATGACACCTCCTAGGTGTCATGAGTCTTTTTGTGTAAGAGACCGAGCGAGCGAGCGGAGACAGATCCTCTTTGGTCCCTTCCCTTCTGCCAGAGCTGCATCTTGCATCTGGCTCCCCAATCTCCTGCTGTATTGTCTGCCAATCCCACGAGCGGTCAGTGGACCGCCAAGGGTGGATTCATTCTGCACATCTGGGCCCCCTGCCCTCTCTGCTTCCTGTCCAGCAGCGTCCATGTGTCAGGAGAAGCCTGCCTTGAACTGGACTGGACTGACTGATGTCGGCCACCGTGTAAGCCATCTCATGGTAGAAACCTCTTTCTCTGTACAACACCTACGGGCATCCCTGCTTTTGATTCTCCGGAGAACCCAACCTCATCTGAAGAACAAGCATGTACAGAGGATGTGCACTGCATTCCACGAAGGACATGATGACCATGCCCAGGTGTCCTCTGCCCAGAGAGAGAAACAGACCCAGGGGCTGCAGCACTGGGACCCAACGTGACAGCAGCTTCGGAGCCGCTGCAGGCCCGGGCAGTGCTGTGTCCCGCTGTCCCCGGGTGGCTGTGCCTAAGAGCAACCAGCTTTCTTGACCGGTCTATGAAGTAATCGTGTGCGTTTGACAAGTGTGGTTTGAACGCAAACCTTCGCGACCGAGAAACTGTACAGTGAACGCAAGACAAGTACCCGGCGCTGTCCCACAGAGACGTGTGTGCGGGGCTCAGCCAGGGATGACAGGGACCCGGCTGGGCCACTTGGTGGAGTCAGTGGCAAACAGAGGCAGTTCTCGTTTGTCTTTTCCCCACAGGTCTGCTTCAACACCGCCCACCAGCCTTGCCCTACATCGGTATGCCCAACGCCTGGGTCCAGCACCCACCCAGGGCAACCAGTCCTGCCGAGAACGACAGCACCGTGATCCCGAGAGCTCCCACTTTCGCGCTCGCTGACGTCAAGAGACTCAGGCTGGTGAGCATACGTTCTCAGAGGAACTACTGCAGAGGCATGAACGGCCCTGGGTAAGAAAGCGAACCGGACCCGCTAGGGGCTCCTGCAAAAACGCGGGTAATAGCGCGGGAGCCCGAGAAGGTGCGAGACGTCACAGCAGCGTCCACGCCACGGCAGAGATGCTCGCTCACTGAGGGCCACGGGCCGGACACGCAGCCGCACACTTACTTTTAAAAGGAGCTGGTACTTGGTGATTCGCTGTACTGGCTTGATAAGGTAGGAAGAGATCGAGTTGGCCAATCCGTGCCGCTGCTGAATCTCCTGTATTGGAAGATCGGGGATGGAGAGATGCATGCTGGGCCGGGACAAGCACCCATGCAAACGCACAGGTATCAGCCTCTGACGGAACCTACATGTGCATCTCCGCCCTCCAGGGACCTGAAGCGTCTATCACTGTGGATTACGTTAATACTCTCAATACCACTGCCATCAAGCGGATGCTGACTCATGGCGAGCAATGGGACAGAAGAGAATTGCCCCTTGGGTTTCGGACACTGTAACTCCTGGCCTCATCTTTTCCCCGTGGAGGGGCTGGTGGCTTTGAACTGCTGACCTTGCAGTTAGCGGCCCAACACACAAACCACTACTTCACCAAGACGTAACACCCCCAGGAGACAAAGAATCCATCTCAGTCAGGACACCCATTTGAAGCAGAGATGGTTGATATGAATGGGTTTGGAATATGCCGGGGTGAAAGTCCTGACAGCTGACCCCACAGGCCAAGTGTCACTCAGCAGACAGGAACCTCTTCTCCTATACGCCCACAATGAAAGCTGTTACCAGGGTACTGCCCACCTGACCTCCAAGCCACCACACACGTAAAACAACCTCCTGGCACCCACCATCCTTCTTCCTTGCAGGGGCTGGTGGGCTTGATCGATAACCTTGAGATTAGCAGTCCAATGATAAACTGAGAATGCTTAGAAACATGCGCGCGCACACACACAGACACACACGGGCTTCAAAACATTTGTGGAAAATCATGTCTTTTCATATCTTCTTTTCCTGCAAACTTTTCGAAGCCCCTTGTGTATGTGTGTGGTAGTTACATAATCTGGTGTCAACCTGAGACGATTAAGAGTGAGAGGGCTGGAGTTTAGCCCGTCAATCAGGTTGCACCTTGTTGACCTCATCTGGAGGTGCTAAGGAGATAAATAGCTCACTGGAGGTGGGACACACACTCACTCCCTGTGAGACATTCCTTCTGACAAGACACAGGGTGCACGCTAGAGCCCTGGAGCTGAGGGAGCCATGTCGAGATGCTTCCACCGCCACTGAATCCACAAGACTTTTCACCCACTGGCCTGTGATCTTCCTGCATTCAGCGTCATTGCATGGCTGCGTGAGTCTAAAGAATAAATTATGGGCTAGGATTGATGTAAGGGCTAACATCAGACGTATGGACTTGATCTGAACTGGGCTGGGATGTTTTCTTAATGTACAATTATCCTTTGATATAAAGTTCCCTCTTATATACATGAATCTCCCTGGATTTGCTTCTCTAGTCAACCAAGATTAACAGTGTGTACACACACCCATGTGAGGCGTGCACAACATCTGCGTACGTATTAAATTCGGAATTTCTCAGACAGACAGCTCCCAGGGCTTGAACCTTTTCAAAATCACCTCCCATTTCTATGAAACAGAAGAAAATAGAAGCAGACTGCAATACAGTTACAATCTGAAAATGACACATGAGGTGAAGGTCACGAACAAGGTTACATTACATTTCTACCAAAACGCACAGCAGTCTTGGTGAGCCGGTACTTACATCAAAATAGGAGCCCGCGTGCTCTAAGATCAGCTGCGTGGAGTCAGGCTTATTTTTGCAGTAAGTGACATACATCTGAAACTTGTCTGCCTATAAACAGACACATTGAAAAATAGAGTCTCTTACTGAAGCTGCAACAAGTCAGAGTTCAATAAACATATGAAGGCAAGAAGCTGCGTGGATAAAGGGGATTTAAGCTCCAATGAAAGAACGACTTTTAAAACACTGCTATTAAGAAACATCCTGCTGACGCGATGAGTTACTCGAAGACGCAGTGGCCCAGCAACCCAAAGATGTGACCACCTCCACGGCTTTCCCCAGACGTGGTAGGTCAAGGCTGGCCCCTGCCCCCTGCCCTCTCCTCAGCCCACCATTCTGAGTGTAAATCTTGGTCTAGGGCCATGCCATGCCTGCCAGCTCTCACCCGCTGGGGGGCCTGGTCGTATTTCAAACTATCAGTGCTGCCCAAACCACCTCATCCCAGAAGAACACCTGGCTGGAGAAAGTGATTCTCTGAGGCCAGGGGTGTTTCTCTGAATCGGCAGTAAGAAGTATCTGGTGGAGCGTGGTGACTTCAGGGGACTGCACCACACTGCTTCTAACGTCCTTCAATGCCCCCCAATAACTCCTCACAGAGCAAGTAGCTGAGGCTCCCTTACCCAGGTGACAAAGCAATGGCCGACGTCCTCTGGCAACTGCTCATATTTTTCCAGCTCCTTCAGAAAAATGCTGCAAAGAACCACACACAGGACAGACATGAGCACTGGAGGGGACTGCTTAAGGCATTTACCAGTGAAACGACAAGCCGCAATTAGACGGAACTGCTATCATCCTTTCAGGCGGTGCATGGATTTGAGCGGTTTTAAATCGGGTGAAGGGAGAAGCCTACGCTTTCTAGATTTTGACGCTGAACCACATGCGTTGCTTCTGCCTCAGGTAAGTCAGCACAACTCCTGATCCGCTCGCTAGCTTAGCCTTCAAAGCGGTGTGACCAATTCGGACCCAGCTTGGAGGGACAGCGCGGTGCTGAGCCGCCATGGATGTGAAGTCCGTCAGGACTTGTTTAGAGCTGGTGACTTCGGCCGGGGCTGTGGCCAGGGATGGGAGGGGAGATGGGATTGGGGAGACCCCACCGACAGAAGGTCTGCGGCTTTCCTTTACACTATCACATGGACCGGCCTGGGGGCCCTTTTGGGGCCCATGGGAAGGGGCATTTTATTCTGGTCAAAGTGCGAATCTGCACCTTATCTCAGGGGCAAACCACTGCCAGCAGAGCTGGCTGCCGGAAGAGCCTGTGAGGAAGGCGGTTGAAGTAAGAATTCCTACAGAGACTCTCTCCTCCGTCTCCCTGCTCTTTAGTTGAAAACGAAATACAGACACAGGAAACCCAGTGGTTTCTAGATCGGGGGGAAGATGGGTCAGCTTCCCTTGGGTAATTTTCAGGAAGCCTCGAGTTCAAATGGAAAGGCGCGTCTCTTTGCCAGGGAAAACGCCCGCTCGCCACTGAGCTGACAGGCCAGTCACTGACTTGTTGTGGAACTCGTAGATCTCCTGCATGTTGCCGAAGATGATGAGCTCCTTATTGACAATGCCGGCCGGGATCTCTTCCACACCGCTGGTCATCTCCCACAGGTAGGTCTGCCAGAGGAGGGACGCAGGTGTTAGCGAGTCACCCCCCCCAAGGCTCTAGAATCATCGATGCCCACTTCTGCAAATACGCTCTCGGAGTTCACCCAGATGATGCCATGCATACACCTTACGTGGGAGCCATTTTAGGAAATACCATAGAAGCCTCCTTTAAAAGGCTGATAGTCATGCTTGTGAAGAGGGCTGGGCTTTATAAATGCCACGGGGATGTGGGGGGTAGCGTCCGCCCGAGGGGCACATCTTCCTAATGCGGTGTGGAGTTTGTAAACATAACTGCCAGGCACACTTCTCCTACGCTGTGGGTTCCACACAGCTTCAGGGCTGTCAGCTGGGCCACCATGGAGTTACCAGGCATCTCTGCCACAGGAGCCAGGGGATTGCAGGCCCAGCTGTCTTTCTGGGCCCAGCTGTGGCCTCGGGATATGAGGATGGATATAATGGTATAGGTGAACATAGTGGAGATGTCTAGACTGTTGAGAGATAAGCCCCAAAGCTTAATAGGTCTCCAGGGTGTGAAATGGCCTGTCAGCCACTTTCTCTCTTCAAACCACCAACCCCAAACTCCCTGCCATGGAGTCACTGGGCGGGGTAGGACTGCCCCTCCTGGACCCCCACCGTTGGTTTCCGAGCCTGTAAATCTCCCCGGGAGTCACAGAATGCGGCTCCAGGTCCCCAGCAGGCCAGGCCAGGGCCTAGAGCATAATGGGGGATGCAGAGGGGCAGGCTAGTGGCTCAGGCAGCGCCCCCCACAGCTGCACAGGAACAGGAGAGCGTGAGGATGCCCACCCCCCACCAGCTCAATCACCAACCAGCCCCTCCCGACTCACTCACATCCATACACTCCCGCAGATCCCTCACGTAGGCCTTCTCCGTCTGGATGAGCTCCGCCATGATGAACCTGGCACAGACCGAGGGGGAAGGTTGGCAACAAGACTGGCACCTTCCGTGAAGCCGCGAAACCATCGGCGGCTTGGAAAGCAGCCGCCAGCCCGGCAAGCGCTCCCAGGTGCCAACGGAGAGGAACAGAAAGGATCTGGGCAGAATGAGGCTTCTCTACCCCAGCACTAGGGACACTTGGGGCCGTCTACTTTTGTTGTCCGGGATCAATGGGTGGGGGTGCAGGCTGCCTTGTGCACAGTGGAAATGTCCAGCAGTCACCTTGGTCTGCGCCCCCAAGGTGCCGGGAGCACCCAGACCTTCGACGATGACAACCCAAGCCAGCCCCCCTGGAGAACAATCTGTGGCCATTATGAGCAGCACTACCTCCAACTCCTACTCTGCCCGCGCCCCCTCCCCCCCTTCTCTTTCCTATCGTCAGGACTTGGGACAGCTCAGGACAAGTGGCTGCAAAGCACGAAGTCCACCCACGGGAAGCAGGGCATGGATGGCACAGCACTAGCAGACACTGGGGAAACAAGGGGACACTGGAGACCGTGATGGCCATGCTGCAGAAACCAAGCACGTTCACAGCAGTCCCGCCATCTGACGCCCCCCAGCCCGCGGCCATCTGGTTTCTCCAGGTGGCCGGCTGCGCCTGTGTGCTCCGGGCGACCCCAGGCTGGCCCGGCTTACTCTTTCCTGCGGGCCGACTTCCGCTTCTCCTCGTTCAGCTCGTGGGCCGCGTCCCGGAGCTTCACCTCGGACCCGGGGGTGCTGGCCGGGATGATGTCCAGCTGAAGGCTTTTACTCTGGGGGGGAGGGCGGGAAGTGGGGGCGGAGATTCAGTGACTCAAGTGAACAAACCAGGCACAGAGCGGGGAACGCCGCGCCCCCTGCCGCGTGCACGCACGGCTTACCGATTTGTTGGAATCGGAAGAGATCCCCAGGGCTTTCTCCAAAGAGCTCCTGTACTTTTCCATGCGCAGAGAGAAGTCCCTGTAGCGCTTATCCACGGCGGTGACACATTTTTTTATCTCTGCTGCGTGGGCATGCCCCTTTTCACAAAAGCCGTCGGCCAGCTGTATCAACAGCTTCACTCGCTCTTTGGTTTGCTGCAAAACAACAGGAAAGTACTGTGAGGCCAGTGCAAGCCCCTGCCAGCGCCCAGGCCACGGGGCCCCTCCGCGCCTGCAGCTCTGGGTCCCGCAGGTGGCAACCACTCCGATGCAAACTTCAAGGCCAGGGGCCAGGACACAAGTCGAAGAGACAAGGCTGTCTTCCCCAGCCAACAGAGAGAGTGGCCTCTCTCCCAGCCTCTCAAGTCACGTTTACTGACATGAAGAGGGATCTGTGCTTATGGAAGCAGCAGGTCTGGGATCAAGTGGGGACAGTCCCACCTTGAACTCCAACTTCCGGGCCCCTAAACGGTGAGAAAATAAATGTCTGTTTGCTAAAGGTTAAAAAAAAAAAAGAAAACGAACACTTCACGCCCACCCAGCCTGTCTGCCCGCTGTGACTCCAGCCTGCCTTTCCTCAGCTCGCCTGACAGCGTGCTGTCCTGACGCCAGTGAAGCGGCAGCGTCCTTGTCTGGTGGGCGCATGTCAAGTACACACGCGTGGCATGAATGGAAGGTCCCACAGGCTGCTCTCTGTACAGGCCGTGTGCACACGGGGTGGGTGTGTCCCGCAAAGGTCTCTCCTGGCTGTGCTCAGGTGATGTCAGCTGTCGGTGACAGGTAGACCTGAGGCTCCTCCAGATACAGCACCACCAAGGCGGCTCCGGCCCACAGGGACCGTAGGCACCACAGAACCACAGGCTCCGCTCCCTGTTTTCCCAGAGCGACACAGCAATGACTGTCTCCCCACCGCAGACCCAACAAATCCTGAGGAAGCTCCCTCCATGCTGCACTTCCATTTCCGCTGTAACTCGTGGACGTGGAGGAAAGCTCTCCGGCCGCTTGTCTTTCACAGGGGTGTTTCCCATTCTGTTCTCTACTGCAGGCCTCTTGTGGGGGGGTGGGTAGTGGGAACGACCCGGAGGCACCTAAGAATAAAACCACTTAAGATCCCCACCCCACCAAAGACCGTATTCTTTAGAAGTGAAATAGTACATGACGGTGAGGGGTGGGCTCTATGTTAACTTGGCTCGGCCAGGATTCTCAGTGGTTCGGCAGTTGAGGTGATGCTGTATCTGGCTCAACAACAAGACAGTGGAACTGCCCCCGTGGTTTGTGAAACTACAACTCCTTGCAGAAGTAGAGAGCCTCACCTTTCTCCCACGGAGTGGCTGGTGTTTCGGACTGCTGGCCTTATGGTTAGTAGCCCAATGTGTAACTACCGTGGGTCACTCACTGGGTCTGTGGACTTGATCCAACAGCCTGCCAGGTTGCCTGCTGACCCTGGGGCCCGATGACTTTGAAGTCACACTCTCTTGTCACAAGCTTGACCTGCTTGCTGATGATTGAGTCAGAAGCATCTTGGACTAGACAGTACCTTGCTTCTACAACGGTATGAGCCATTCTCTTGATACACATTTCTTTCTATTTCTAATCTATACATATATATATATATGGCACTGGTGGTGCTTCTCTGTAGAGCCCAGTCTAACACAATGACTCTCCTTCCTTAATCTGTTAGCCTCTAGAGATTGTTTATAAAAAGCATCGTATTATTTAAAAGTTTATAAATTGGACTTCACTGATAGGCATATTCAAGGAAGTAGAGAAAAATAGAAGTAAATTGAGCTCTGAAGCCAATTGCTCAGAGAGAATGCCAGACCAGGAAGGATGAGGTATCCACAGCTTGGGGGCACTAGTCACCAGAGCTATGGGCAGCCCTGTGGGGAGGACAGAGCAGCAGAGTTCGGAGTGACCCAGCAAGGCAGTGCTTGCAAACACCTTCTATGTAAAGCCACCTGGTCCAAGAGTGGCCTCTCTCCCAGCCTCTCAAGTCACGTTTACTGACATGAAGAGGGATCTGTTTATGGAAGCAGCAGGTCTGGGATCAAGTGGGGACAGCACCAAGCTGACACACGAGTGCCTGCATCACAAGCTGCAAAGTTACCAACGACCGAGACTCAGTCAGGCGGTGATGAGAGGCTGTGGTCCGGCTGCACCGTTTTCTTGCTACCAGCACTAAAAATGTCTTAATACTAATCAGGATCACCAGGGGAAAGAAAGCCTGTCCTGCCAGGGCTATGGATTAGCTACAACAGATCATTCCAAAGAAAGGGCGACAGAGACCTAGCAAAAGCAGCAGCCCCATTTCTGACGGGAACATTAGCGTCTCCAATCCAAAGCGGGTGGTCTCTCGTTCACAGAGAGGCAAGAATGGCAAAAGAGGCAAGGGGGAAAAATAAACCAAACAACCGAGTGTGTCTCAAGATCTACTCAAAAACAAAACAAAAACTCATTGCCATCCAGTCAATTCTGACTCACAGCAACCCTACAAGACAGAGTGGAACCACCCCTGTGAGTTTGTGAGCCTTTAGCTCCTGACAGAAGTAAAAAGCCTCATCTTTCTCCCACGGAGCAGCTGGTGGTTTCAAACTGCCGACCTTGCTGTGAGTAGCCCAACGTGTAACTACTATGGTATTAGGGCTCTTCACATTCTACTAGCTTCCTTCTAG